GATACACAGGTGAATTTTTGACACCAAATGATCAAGAAGTCCAAGAAGCAGAAGTGAGAAGGACAAGAACAAGAAGTGTTACAAGATTTGATGAAAGGATGATTACAAAGATTATCCAGACGGTTACGACCGCAGTGTTGTTATCGTTGACTGAAGCAAGAAGATTCGGTGAAGAAGGTGAACAAGGACTGGGAAGAGCAAGTGTAGTTTGCGTACTGTTGTGCATGTTCATAGCAGCGATTATGCATAAAGTTGCAAGCGCAGCCGTTTTGCTCAAGAAAGAAGTCCCGAAGAAAGAAGAAAAAGAAGAAGATAGGACAAGAGCAATGGCCGACGATGATGCAGTCAAGTACATGATTACGGAGTGCAGCAGAAGCATCGAGGCAACCACACACCTCGAAAAAGTGCTCAAGAAAGATAGGTCACAAAGACCAAGTGCTGATGACCTCTGGAAGGAGGTAGAAGCTCTCAACCAGCAGTATGAAGTCAAGAGTACTGACAGAAAGAAAGAAGAGCAGCCAAGGAAGCAAGAAGAAGATGAAGCAGCGTCGGACCCAGATTCCGATGAGTCCAAGGAAAGCGAGTCAGCAGAAAAGGACGATGAAGAAGAAGCCCAGGAAGAAAAGAAGGAAGAATAAAAGGAAGAAGATTTGGAAACGTTCAAGAAAACTGCTGAGGAATTGGCAGAAGAAGCGGAGAGATTGAAAAAGTCGAAAGAGGCTAACTTCGCAGCGTTGGAGCACTCAAAGGTGAACATCCCTGAGGACATCCAGGAAGAGATAAGGAAGCAAGGAGAGATCATGGATGAAAAGCTACAGCAGCTGGAAGAGATGAAGGCAGCAGCAAAGGAAAGAAGAGCAGAAGTAAAAGCAGAAGCAGATCAAGTTGCAAGCAAGGCCGAAGAAGAAAAGCCAAAAGAAGAGGAGAAGCCTGCAGAAGAAGAGAAGCAAGAGGAAGAAGAGAAGCCTGCAGAAGAAGAGAAGCAGGAAGAAGAGAAGCAGGAAGAAAAAGAAAAGGAGAAAGAGGAAAGGAAAGACGCCGAAGAGGCGCTAGTTCAATCCTCTGACGAGGAAGCCCGCGAGGCAATGGAAGCCCTCAGAAGTGGTTTCAACATAGACACAATGTCTATATTCCCAACAGTCATGGGGCAGCTGAGTATCGAAAGCATACGAAGGGCCATGCCAAGCGCAAACCTGGAGAAGGAGTTTGTGATGTGGCAGGAGCAAATGAGACGCCCTGTCTCAAGACTCCCATCTGGGTACGGCTTAAGAACCGCAGAGTTTTTGGCAAGAGTGGAAGATGATATGCAAGAATATGTGGAGAGTATGTCCACGTTGACAGAGGACGAAAAGAAGGCTGAAGAAGCTTACAAGCAAGCCAGAGAAGAGATGGATCAATACGAGCAAGAACTCAAGAAGGAGATGAAAGAAAAGCTTGAAGCAAAGCTTAAGAAAGTGCGAGAGCTCGAAGAAGATGCAGTCGCAGCAAGAGGAGATGTTGAGAAGACAAGCAATGTGAGAAGTGCTTTACAAAAGCTAGGCGAAGTGGTGCAGACGGCAGACAAGCTACTGTCAGCTCTGAGCGAAGAGTTCAAAAGCCTAGATCCGTACACAAGGCCAGAGCCAGATCAAGAAAAGGAGCGACAAGCCCTAGCAAAGCTTATGGCGACGATCAAAAGAAAAAGCGAGGCAAGCAGCCCAGCAACGCCAGCAGCAAAGGCAAAGCCAATGCCAAAGAAGGTACCTCAGTTCCTCAAGGCAGGAATTACAGAGGAAGAAAGAAAGGCAGCGAATACTTTGGAGAAGCAGTTAGCTTTGAAGAGCAAGCTAAGATCAACGTTCAAAGAAGCAACCGATGAAAAGATCGAGAAAGCAGCGAAGGCAAAGCTGGATCACAGCAAGGAAAAGCCAAGCGAGCCAGAAGGCACGCCACCAAGGAAGGTGAACCCAATTTGGCTGAAGGATCAAAGAGAAGAATCTTTCAAGAAGACCAAGTACCTGCATTGCTTCTATTGCAAGGCCACGGACCAGCATAAGGCCCCGGAATGTCCGGAAATGGAAAAAGCTGTCAAGATGTACTACGATGGGATAAGGCCAGACAGCAGCAACACCGAGCGAAGAATATTTTGCAAATTCTGCTTTCTGAACTTCACGCACATCAACTACAGACCCTTCAAGTTTAAGGGGTGGGGTACACATACCCCGGACATCTGCAAGTACAAGGAAGACGTCAGGAGCTACTTGGAAAGCAACCAGTACAAGTTCGAGAAGGAGTTAAAAGACATCCAAGAGCAAGGATATACCCCGAAAGACAGTTGGGGAGCAGAACCAAAGAAGCCAAAGCCAAAGCAAAGTGATGAAGACAAGGCTGAAAAGAAAGCAGAAGACAAGGAAGAGAAGAAGAAAAAGCCAGCCGACAAGTCCAAGAGCAAGGACAAGGATAAAGAGAAGAAAGCTGAAAAGGCTGAAAAGGAGAAGAAGCGTAAGAGCGAATCTCCGTTCGATCAAGCAAGAGCCGAGAAGCGACAGCGTGGAGAAAAGGAGCTAGAGTAAACCAAGGTTGCGGTTTAAAAGCAAGAAAAAGCAGTGAGGGCGGAAATCGCCCAGCAGCAAGCGTGAGGGCGGAAATCGCCCAGGGCAGAAATGTTTCACAACGGAAAAGCTTATGGAGAAAGCTTGTGAGAAGCGTGGGTAAAGCCACAGCAAAAGCCACGAGGACTACGTAAAGGTCCCACGGCATACGTCAAAGCACTACGAGCACAACGATTGTTTAAAGGTCAATGACAGAAGGCTAAAAAGCCGATGCAGGACTGATGAAAGAAGTCCGAAAGCAAAGGAGACAAGCCAAAGTTTCCAGATTGCCGAAGAGCAAGTATGGACCTACATCGCGAAATGCGACGTGAAGAAAAAGTGAGTGCGCATGTAGATTCTGAGTGAGTCCATGCCAATCGTGTGTGGAGTGGAAATTCGCAAATCTGCTATAGGACATCTGAAGATTGAGGATGAAGACCAAAGGAAGAGAAGGTTAAAGATGTTCAAGAATTGCTTAAAGAAGCGTGCGAGAAGAGAAGATCAAGCTCACAGGAGCATGCGAAAACAGTGGTAGAAGTAGGAAAAGTTTCACAAGGATCGCATTACACGACAAAGCTGTGTATGCGATGAGGGCGTAACAGATAGTTCAATTTTCCCTCATGCCCATTTACATACAGGAATCCAGTGTTTCACCGCAGGTCAAACGTAGGCTCAAGACAGCCCGACAGCGGAGCACGGAGTGAGAAAAGAATCCAAGCTCGCGCCGTTGTTATAAGAAGCATACTGGTATAAGGGTTTAAACTTTCAAATTGGCTACAAAGTATTTGTCGCCTGCAAAACCTGCTGAAGAGGCGATGTTGCGTGGCACAGAAGCTTTGCATGCCATGTATGCCTGTCTCAGTAATGCAGCTTGGGACAAGGACGTCTTCAGAATTTCTTCTCAGAAATTTCTATTACTCTGGGGCAGCCTCGAGACTTGCTTCGAAGCCGATAGAATCTTTAGGGTGAAACCTGAAGCCCATCAGCTTTTCGATTTGGCCAGGGCCCAGGTGAACCCTAGTAAGACCTGGACCTACAGGATGAGTCTTACGGGCACACCCTAGCATTGCTGGGCAGACGGCGGGGTGGCCAATTTTCCATGTATGCTGTTTCTTGCCAAGTTCTGAGATGGCAGCTAATAAAGTTCCCTGTGTCGGCACGTGATCCTTGGGAGGAAAAAGCACGTGCAGTCGATCGTCCGCACGCATATGTTTGTTATTTTGGGGATGCATATACAGAGTTTAACAATGCTTAATTAAGCAATGTTTTCGTATTTTATATACCATGCTTAAATAGACACTATCATGCTTAATCAAGATGACCAAAGATATCAAAACATTATTTAACCATCTTTGGAAGATCTGGGATCGTTGAGCATTCTGAGATTCGTCGTGTCGTTACATATCGTACTCAACGGGCATGACGTTTTGAACCCGTCCGCTTCGTGGGGAAGTTCGGGTGCACAGGTCATTCATGCCGACATCAGAACAAGAGAAACGTGCTGAGCAAGTGCATGCATCAGTTATGTAAATGTGTTTAAGGCCGCACATCTTTTGCTTATTCAAGGATTGATTTGTTTTCTTGTTGACGAGCTTGCACAGGTCCGGACATCCCGAGTGAGCATTGAAAGAGTGACAAAGCTTTGTTCCGAGCAGGGTTTTGTTGAATTCCGTTTGTAAAAGATTTTACATAAGATCATTTCCGGCGTTGCGTGCAAGACCAGAAAGCTGCAGATGCAAGCATTTTTTCCTACGCGTGCCATTTCGGGCACTTTTAAACAAAAACGTTACCCCAAAGGATGTGGATATCTGAAATTGGCCAAAAAACCGAATCATGCCCATGATCCTTTCAAGTGAGCCTCGGGCAAACAACTTTTAAAAGAACCCGGCAGACACCCTTGTCGTCGCCTCACTGTTCTCGTTTGAGGCTTCCAAGCTCTCCCCAAGTTTTGGCCCAGCCTTGGTTGCCCCAACCATGAAAGCCAGACGACGAGGAGTCAGTACATAGAAAACATTTTCTGGGTTTGGTGAAATTGGGTTTTCAGGTCATAAGAAGGCTAGTGGAGGGAACGATTTTTGGGTTGGTTTACTGTGTTTTTGTGGAACCAAATCACATTGTGTCTGCCAAAAACACGAAGCCAAGCCAGCGTGCCGAAGAGGGTTAGCTTGGAATTTCAGATCTCGCAAGCCCGACATGCATTAGACGCTTAAACACGGATCCAGCAAGTTATTCGTTACCGTTTGCCGTTGTCATGATTGGTGTTGTGCGTTCGATGAAATTCCATATACTCCAAGGTGTCGTTGTGGAATGTTGCAGTGTGACGTTTGCCAGTTTGAGTGCTTGACACTTGTTGGCGCATCGCTGGTCTTGGTTGGTGAGTTTTCTCAAGCAGCGCAGTTAGCGCCGCTGATACATTGAAGCCACTCCACAATGAAGATCTTGTGGCTGTGGTTGGTTGCTCGGGGCATCGCTCGTGAAGATGGTGCCGGAAATCGTCCATTAATCCTGGTTCCAGGACTTACAGGCAGCGCGCTAGAAGTGCAGGAGCGTGATGCGCCGATGCCTCACTTCTGGTGCAAGCGCAGCACATCCAACGAATGGATGCAGATATGGGTCAGCCCTGTGCCTACGCTGCATCTGCCAACACTTCATGTGCAACACTGCCGGGCTGTGTTCGTGTGGCCATGTTCTTGTGTTTTGTCATGCTGAGTTGGCAGGTGCAAACCTTGCCGTGGGAAATCGATTGCTTGATGGCCCGGATGTCTTTGACGTATGATGCTGCCACAGACGTCTATTCGTTGCTCGCTGCCAATTCTACGATGTTGCATGCGTGTTCGTGTGATTCTGTGTATGTGTGTATGCAGTTCATCCTGCAGGAATTTGGCCGGTGTTGAATTGCGAGCGCGTGGTTGGGGCAACGGCACAGCAAACGGCAAAACCCACAAGGCGTGCAGATGGATAGTGTTTGGAAAATTTGCTCGTGCATGGATGCAGATGTGAGCTGAGTGAAATGCAGGACATCTTGTACAGCTACCAGTTCGACACGATGCTGCACCACTTGCAGCAAAACCTTGGGCCTGAAACTCACAAAATGCCCGTGTGACTGCAATTGAGGTTTCAAGGTCCTCTTGACGAGATTAAGGTACGAATTGGGCACCGACGTGTTCCTTGCTCCATATGACTGGCGCTTGGCGGGTGATGCTCATTCCAAGCCTGCAAACGGGGTCGGCGGATACTACCGGCAGCTGCAGGGTTTGATTGAAAGGACGGTTCAGGCCGCGGATTTGCTCGCAATCATGGTCAACGGTTCTTGTCACGTGCTGCAACATGTGTCGTGTCTGAATTGGAAATGCACTTGTTGCCTCAGCTGCACAAAATTCGCATTGGGTCGATTTGTTTCCATATGCAAACGCAGCACAGCGTTTGCCGTTGTGCGCAGTATGGCGAATTGCGTTTTTATGTCGGTGAGAGGGTGTTTGTTGATGGGTGTTGTGTGTTTCGTTGTCACTCGTACTCTCCAGACGACCACAAAACTATCGCGGTTCCATGTGGAATGTTTCCGATACACGGTAGTTAGTTAAGGTAGTTAGTTTGTACGACACGCCGGTGCCGGCTTGTTGTGGTTGGCATCGGGGTCGGTGGGAGGTTCGGTCACGAAGCTGCAGATTGCTGGTAACGCCAGGGTTTGACAACTTTAGGGCGTACCCGCTCGCATTTGCATATCCCGCCGAACTCCCCAATCGAGCTCGATAGCCGCCGTAATTTTTTCGTGGCCTGAATTGCTGGGGCTCGCATCGGCTCCCGAAGCAATCTGGTCCCGCACTGCCGAGCACCAAAACTCCTCGACGTTCCCTTCGGACGCGCCATAGCCCGTTTGCAACAGGGCAATCATCGTCCCACCGTTGCGGAGGCCTGCCAGGCTTTCTCTTCAGCTTTGTTGTGCAACCACGCCTGGGAATCTTTCATTAGGAAATAATTTGTCGACTCGCTACAGGCTTGCACGGCAATTTTGTGGCACACCCAGCAAGTATTCCAGTGAGAGGATTCGGGCGGGTGCATGATCTTGTACCACTTGTCGATCGGCGGGTTTGCGCGGAAAGCATAACGTATAAAGAGTACGGAGCAGCGAGCAGAGAGCACGGAAAGCAGAGCGCAAAGTGCAGCAGCGAGCAGCAACCAAAACGCAGAGCGCAGATTTTGCCCGCAGCGCAGAGCGCGTAAGGCTTTTGATCCGACGCATCATCCAGCTCTGTTTCGAGCACTTCGGCATCAGGGAGTTTCCGAGGGATATCTTGAATTGTTACAAATATTGTACTCTTCGCTAACAAGTTCCATGTCCGAAATTCCGTATTGGACGTGGTGTAAAACAGGGCGACATGATTAGCCCACTGCTGTTCAGTTCCGGTCTGGAACACGCGGTACGCGAATGGAAAACATGTCTACGTAACGAGGGTATTCACATTGGAGCACCCGCTAATTTGACAAACGCCCGGTACGCAGATGACTTGATGTTGTATGCCGGCAGGAGCTGGAACGCGTGCAGGAAAAGCTAACAGCAATTTTAGCAAGCATAGGATTGGAACTCAACGCGGAGAAGACTCGAATCATTACGACCGCTAGTGAAAGAAGCGTTGCCTAAATTGATGTTGACGGCGACATTGTTCGGAAGCATATCGCAGCATGCAACACACTTTCGGGGCCCATATTGTCAACCAGAAAGCCCGAGTCTCCTCCGCTGCGGAGCGCGTGCTCGCAGCCTTGCGCGACAACAGAGCTGCGCGGTTGCCTTCGCTGTTAATTGGCAGCAGCCGAGGCAGCGGCTTACTTGACCACACAGGGCTACGCAGTGCCGTCATGGGACGAGGCCGTCGCCAATGTGCCGGGCCCCCAATCCCAACCCGACGAGCCTGCAGACTTCCTGCGCGGATGGCAGCGCAGAGCTTCCCACGCTTGCGATGAGTGCGTGCTCGAGACGCACCTTGCTGGTTTGTCCCCTGCGTCCTGGGCACTGCTGCTCTCAAGCTGGTCCTCACGCTGCCCGAGCCTCCACGGTATTGCCCGCGTCGGATGATTTTGCAATACCGACTCGCACTTCCGCGTCCTGCTGTTGCGCCGCTTGCGCATGCCCCTCCCGCCTGGCCCGTGCAGCTGCTCCTGCCGCCAGGCAGCTTGGGCGGCGTTGTGCAAAGTGGCGGGGGCAGCTGCGGCCCGCGCCCGGGCGAGGAGGCGAACAAAGGTGGCAGCTTCCTCAGCCCAACGTCCGCCGACCTCGAGTCCGAAAACGACAAGGCGACAGCGTCGGCTGCGGTCGATCTCGGGGTACGTCTGCCTGCGTTTGCGCCGCGCAGCAAAGCGGACGGCCCAACCCACGAGACGTTCAGCGCCGTCATGCGGGCGGCCATCTCGGGTCGCCGGGCTGACAAGCGTCGCGTCAACGGCAAGCTGCGCCCCGTGCCAAAGCGGGAGGCCGTTGCAAACGACCTCGAAGCGCCTCGCGTCGTGGACCGGCACATCGATGTTCATGGCGGCCAGCGCGACTTTGCGCCCGACACGCGCCCCGGCTTCCTGGCAGACGCGGGCGATGGCCCGTTCGAGGGGCAGTGCGCGGGAGGCGAGCACGCCGGATGTGGAGCATGCAGCTCGATGGTCTCAATACGCATCAAGCACGCCGGAGTGGGGCTTACTCCGTTGCAGCGCATAGTGCGCTCGCTGCCACCTTTCCTTGAGCTACCCCTCCAATAGGCGTTTGGTGCTGCTGGCCCGCCACCAGCTTTGCACGAGCTCCTTGCCGACGCGCGCTGGCAGGAGGCTCCTGAGCCCAGCCGCCTCCCTGCCCGTTCGTGAGTCGCGAGTTGCCGCCGTAGGCTGCAGTTGGCACGGGGACTTACCTCTTTCACGTGCAGTAGCAAAAAAAAAGTTGCGGAAAAAAAACAAAACAAATGCTTGGCCATTGTTTGCCGCGAGCTGAGATCCAACTCGACATAACAACTTCGCAACACAGCCGAAAAGAAAGCCTAGCAGACTTTCGAAACGGTGGGGTGATGATCTGACATGTTTCAGTTGTGCATATTTTCCTTTGGCAGAGGCTTGGCATGATGTCGCTGATTCGCTAGAATGGCACTCTTGACGACACCGCTATTCCAATGTGGTAATGATGATGTACCTTAATGTGTTCCCACCTGTCACCCATGTCCTTATAGGACCGTAGTCTCCGACTCGAACGAGCAAATTGCAAAGTGCATAGCGCGTAGAGCATAGAATGGGGAGCAGAAGGCAGTGCGCAGAGCAGAGAGACCTTATAGCTCATTGCCGAAGGCCCTCGACTTACAAGCCCGCAGCCTTCCAACCAGCAACCCGGAATTTTGAAAGCGACCAGTCCAAGAACTCTTGAAACTCGAAAGCTCTGAAACCCTGAACCCAGGGTCCTGAAAGTACTTTAAAATCGAAACAGACGCGACGATCAACGAACCTCGAACAACTCCGTTGAGCGAAGCAAAGGAGGCTGCACCCATCAATTTCACCCCACATTGGAGAGCCAGGTCCTCCAAATCGTGCAAACTCCGGGCAATAAAATGGTAGCATGTAAATGCTCATTACGGAGTAAAGCGGGGATGCAGTGGCGTTGCGTTATATTGTGCTCAAGCGCTTGGCACCTGGCAGATGGCCACATGCTCAACTGCCCCACATCCCTTGCGTTTGCGCTCATTGATGTTAGAAATTAGAAATTTCTTCAACGGCAGGGCGCACGCTGGCCACAAAAAGGAACATTGTTGGCAATGTCACGGGCACGGTTGGTAGCTGCGGAGGTGCACGCTGCGACGAGCGCGTTTGATTGGCGTCCCCCTACCGTGTCCTACGGCCCACACCAGGTCCTCATCGGGGTCGCTGATGGCTGCCAAGCACAAGGAGCTGCCAGCGCACATCGGCGAGGAGCTCATGCAGCTCAGGCGCGCCCCGGCAAGGTTGCACTCCCCCGCGAGTGGTTGCAGCAACGACGCGGCGATGGTGCGTCGCGCAGCGACTGCCAGCAGGCGAAACAAACGAGCAACCCAAGTTGCGCGCGAAGGCGCCGCTGCGAGCCATGCCACAGGGCCACTCCGTTCGCGACGTCTTCGATGCGGCGGTCGTTGCTAAGCGGACATGACGGGCAACACGCAGCAGCCTGTTCAATACGGAGGGCCGCGAGGCGAGCACTCCGGAAGTTGCTTTCCTTGAGCTACCCCTCCAATAGGCGTTTGGTGCTGCTGGCCCGCCACCAGCTTTGCACGAGCTCCTTGCCGACGCGCTCTGGCAGGAGGCTCCTGAGCCCAGCCGCCTCCCTGCCCGTTCGTGAGTCGCGAGTTGCCGCCGTAGGCTGCAGTTGGCACGGGGACTTACCTCTTTCACGTGTAGTAGCAAAAAAAAAGTTGTGGAAAAAAAACAAAACAAATGCTTGGCCATTGTTTGCCGCGAGCTGAGATCCAACTCGACATAACAACTTCGCAACACAGCCGAAAAGAAAGCCTAGCAGACTTTCGAAACGGTGGGGTGATGATCTGACATGTTTCAGTTGTGCATATTTTCCTTTGGCAGAGGCTTGGCATGATGTCGCTGGTTCGCTAGAATGGCACTCTTGACGACACCGCTATTCCAATGTGGTAATGATGATGTACCTTAATGTGTTCCCACCTGTCACCCATGTCCTTATAGGACCGTAGTCTCCGACTCGAACGAGCAAATTGCAAAGTGCATAGCGCGTAGAGCATAGAATGGGGAGCAGAAGGCAGTGCGCAGAGCAGAGAGACCTTATAGCTCATTGCCGAAGGCCCTCGACTTACAAGCCCGCAGCCTTCCAACCAGCAACCCGGAATTTTGAAAGCGACCAGTCCAAGAACTCTTGAAACTCGAAAGCTCTGAAACCCTGAACCCAGGGTCCTGAAAGTACTTTAAAATCGAAACAGACGCGACGATCAACGAACCTCGAACAACTCCGTTGAGCGAAGCAAAGGAGGTTGCACCCATCAATTTCACCCCACATTGGAGAGCCAGGTCCTCCAAATCGTGCAAACTCCGGGCAATAAAATGGTAGCATGTAAATGCTCATTACGGAGTAAAGCGGGGATGCAGTGGCGTTGCGTTATATTGTGCTCAAGCGCTTGGCACCTGGCAGATGGCCACATGCTCAACTGCCCCACATCCCTTGCGTTTGCGCTCATTGATGTTAGAAATTAGAAATTTCTTCAACGGCAGGGCGCACGCTGGCCACAAAAAGGAACATTGTTGGCAATGTCACGGGCACGGTTGGTAGCTGCGGAGGTGCACGCTGCGACGAGCGCGTTTGATTGGCGTCCCCCTACCGTGTCCTACGGCCCACACCAGGTCCTCATCGGGGTCGCTGATGGCTGCCAAGCACAAGGAACTGCCAGCGCACATCGGCGAGGAGCTCATGCAGCTCAGGCGCGCCCCGGCAAGGTTGCACTCCCCCGCGAGTGGTTGCAGCAACGACGCGGCGATGGTGCGTCGCGCAGCGACTGCCAGCAGGCGAAACAAACGAGCAACCCAAGTTGCGCGCGAAGGCGCCGCTGCGAGCCATGCCACAGGG